CCCATCGCGCGGTCTTAAAACAAACGGCTCCGCAATTGCAAAATTCCGCATCGCAACGTAACGAGATTAGCCCACGCCATCCATTGCCGATCCTAATGACGGACACTTTTTTTCTAATCATTCGTCCGAAGAGTGCTCATTATTTCGCAATTCCTCGGTCCTCAGATACCAAGGCGTGCACTTAAGTTGCGCGCAATTATTGGCACGATACCGTTCGCGTCGGATTTGTACGCGTGTCGGATGCATTTTCTCGCGAGGCAAAAAGCAAACTCGGCGCATACTCGGAAACGCACGGCCGGTCGTCAGTTATTCAAACTGCTGAAGAAGACGCTATTCAAACTTCGTGTCCGACGTGATCATAATCACAGAGATGGTAACGACTAATCCCGGCTTTGCCGGATGAATCAGAGTTGCGTGGCACTAAAAATCGCAAGTACAAGTCGGTTCCCAGATTCTTCAAATTTTTGTAAATTACGCTCGTATTCCTTTTATACGATTCTCAATCATAATTATAATACGGAAATATTGCACACAGCAATAAAATCTACAACTCGCTATTAATTCCGATATGTTGTAAAGATAGATACTTGACGTCACACATATACATTGAATTCATTTGCAGCTTAGAAGAAAGATCAAAATTAAAATCAAAATTAAATATAAAACATTTTATTTATAATAAAAAATAATAATCAAAATCAAAATAAAATAATAATCAAAATCATAATTAAATATAAAATATTTTTACGATAAATATACTACGATTATTCAAAATATCCCAAATGTATCTCAAATTTCTTAAAACATTATGTATCTATACATATACAAACACATAATAATGATAATAAATTACCGAAAAAGCACCCTTGTATAGAATGAACGTAAGAACATATCGATTGTGGGGTAAATAATACAGAATTTACCTCAACTACTCCGACGCGAACGTAACGCGATGCAACAGGTTCGCGGCAAAGAGTGCCGATTGATCGCGATTCCCACGAATGCGCTGCTCACATTGTTGGAAAATCGCGGCAATTCTCGGCGAAGATGCGCGAATATAATCGGCCCGGCGCGGAAATTGTCGGTTCCACAATGTTGCGCGCGCAAATCAAGCCACGAGACGCTCGCTAAAAATGCTTAATAAATACGACTCCGCGGGACTGTCGATCGGTCGGGGTCCGCAATGTGTGTGTGTACGTGCGTGTGCGTAAACGGACCCCGGCGTTTTGTCAGAGACGTGCACTTATCCCATCATGCACGCCGCCCTTTCGTTTCTGCCTTTTTCCCTTCGGTTTTCTCGCGCTCTAGCGTTTTATCTCTACCATCCCTTCTTCATACATACACATACACACATACACACATACACATACATGCACGCACACAGGCAGACATGCACGCATATGCGTTTTAAGTACACGCAAAAGCTATGTTTATCATTCCACGGCAGCCTTTTCAACCTACCCTCTCTTTACCCATCATTCGTTCGTCCGATGATTCTACCTTAATTTTAATACTAGCGACGTAACGCGTGCATCTATGCGGGGCGAGGGTGTAGTTATTGAAAAAATAAAGCGTTAAAAAATTAAGGCGACGCGCGCTAACGCAAATAATTGATTTTAAGAATTATTTAAGCAAAACTATTTTCTATTTAAATGAAATTGATTTAATAATTCTTTTAAATCTTTCGACAATTTAAAAATATTTTATAAATAGCTATTAAAGAGAGAGAGAAAGAGAGAGAGAGAGGATCCCCTTTTTATATAGTAAAATCTTCGTAAAATGAGCTGTTTTTTTCAATTCTTAAGATTAAAAGAAGCATATCATAAAGGTCTGATTCACACACACATATAGTGGAAACGCAAGAGGTTAATATAATTTTTCTCTCTTTTCAACAATATGACCTGTAACTGTCATGTAATTATCAGCTATATAACGTCAAAGAGCCAATTTCAATAAATTAAAATATCTTACAGCGTTATACACGAACCTACTAATCAAAGATGCGCTTTCCCATAAGAGAAGCGTGATTGATCAAACATATGCCTCTTTATAAATTCCGCATAGCGAAAAAAAAAACCGTCTCGATAGGGTTGAATCATCACGCGCGTTCGCGATATTCCGGCCGAATGATTATAATAAATTCGATCGCAGCGTGCGATGCTGCGATGGACGCAGACACACGTACACTACGAACCGCAACCGACATGCAGTGGGTCATTTCGATTTCGCCTTTAATGACTATTCGGGAGGCGGCGAAGAAGTGGGAGCCTTTTAATAACCCTTCCCCCTTGAACCCCGTTCGATCGGAGGTTCGAAAGTCGCGGCAAGGTTAAGTACTTGCACTCCGCTGTCCGTCCGATGCCCTTCCTTCCGGTTTTCAACGGGTCAACAAATCGTCGCCGGTTATTCCGATTAAGATACGTTATCTTTTTTTTTCGATGACAAAGTTACGAGACGCGTTTTTCAAATTTTAAGAGAACAATTTCGCGGATGAGAACGAGTTTGTAAATTTAATAATATTTAAATCCTTTCGAATTGAAAATTAAAATTGAAAATTTTTTAGTTATATATGATATTGAAATCTATAGAGCGGGAAAGAAAGTTCTATTTTGCATTTTTAACAAATTTATATGATTTTATCGTGTAAATTTAATAAAAATGTAAAATAAAATTTTCTTTCTCTCTTTAAATTTAACATTTGTAATATATATATACATATAAATTCGAGATATCTATTGTTCCCTAAATAATAAAATGTAAAATATAAAATTTTCAATTCAATTTTTCTCACGCACATTGAAAGTTAATAAGAAAATAAATCTAGAATTCTACAACGCAAAAAGAAGATTTGTAAGAAGACCGGACGAGAGTAATGAAGAGTTTTCTTTTTGTTCCCTTTTTATATAAAAGTTCCAGAGAGAAAGGGAAGAAAAAGGGACACGGAGGGACAGAACGAAAGGATGGCCACTGGATAATTTCATGTCGACGAACGTACTGCATATGCAAGTGCCACTGCAGTCACGACATGGCGAGTGGCTATGTTCGCTATTGTGTATGTCGACACGTATATTACCTTCGGAAAGTTCCCCACGCATGTATAATAAAAGAGATGACAAAAATTATATTTTTGTGATATTGCCGCAAATATAAAAATCACACACACGGAATAAAAGAAATATATATATATAAAACTTATGCAATCACCTGATATATATAATTAATATATTTCAATTTTAAGAAAAATCTACAAGTTTTTAAGTATTCTTCTCCTTGTCGTTTTAAATATATATGTATAACAATTATTAATGTGAAATGTAAATTTTGTAATTTAACTTTTATAAATTTAAAAATATTAAAAAAAAAAAACGTTTTTCTTCTAAATTTGATCATTAAAACGATTTTTTATTACTGCTATAAAAAAAATTTCTGTACATATACAGAATACATATACACACACATTGTCGATATTTGGAAACTTTGACGGTAATATACGTTATACGTGAATCTTATAAATCAACGATATCATGTAGTTCGTTTCTGATTTTTGATTTCATTGTTTCTGACTTTCTTGCTCCATATTGAGTATATGCATAATTTGTGTTTACGATTAGGGGAAGAACATTTCGCAAGCGAAATATCAGAAGTGCGACTGAGATAGTGCGATGTATTTTTCAATTCGATCATCTTTGCACGATTGCATAATGTATCATAAAAAATAATTTTGAATTTTAAATGGCATCGATGAATTAATTTCGCAACCATCAAGCGATGTTATTGTTTAGCACAAATTCAACATGGAATTCTTGAATTAAGACTGGATCCTGATATATATATTTTACTTTAAATTTGCTAAAAGCTTTCAAAAATTATTAAATATTGGATGATTGCATAAGTTCGTGCCCGATTTTCATAGATGGCATTAAGTTACTGCATGGCGGAGTTCTATTGTTTTCGTGTGGTAATTGTTGCTTACACCGAATAGATGACGTTGTCTTATGTCAATTTAGCATCAGACATTGTTCAGATAAGTCCATTGGTGCATAAGAGAAATCATTAAAAATGGAGAACCACAAGGTGCATTTGCGGCATGTAATGTTATATAAATTTCGGAAAGGCGTGAGTGTTGGGATTGCACAAAAAAATATTCAAACCGTTTATTTGGACCACGCTCCTGCTCTCCGAACAGTCAAAAAGTGGTTTGGCAGATTTCGAAATGGTGATTTCAACATGGAGGATCAACCCCACTCTGGACGGCCTTCTGGCATTGATAATGACATTGTGCATGCCTTAGTGGAAAGAATTTAACTTTTATAAATTTAAAAATATTAAAAAAAAAAAGTTTGTTTCTTCTAAATTTGATCAGTAAAAAGTCTTTCAAAAATATAGATCTATTCAAATTATTTCGTATATATTCTATACACACTTTAATTTTTAAATAACTTTTTATATTTACATCTTACATATTTCAAAATACTAATTTATAAATGTCGTGTTCATAACTAGCAGCATATCTTACATCTAGTGTTTTAATATGTACATACACATTTTCATCTTCTTGCAAAACGTAAAACGAATATTCTGATACCTCAAATCGTTTCAGAGATATTCGCTCATTACGCTTTCTGCGAAATCAAATCCTTAAATGACTCCCCTTTAATAAAAACGTGGTTTGTAAAAATAACAGTTTTTTCTTCCCATAAACCCGTCATTACCTTCCCAACACTAACACAATTTCGACATTATTGTGATCCCGCTGCACGTTTTTAAATGCGCGAGCGAACGAGCCTGTGTATTATTCATATTTAATTCTGTATTATTCATACTCTCTTAAACGCCGTAAAAGCGCTATCACGTGATTAAGAAAAGCATCTCATTGCAAAATTACAATAATTAATATGTCTGTACCTCAAATCGTTCTCAACAATTTGAATTAAATAAGAATATTCTTGTTTTATTTAATAAATATCTTTTTTTTTTTTTATCCAATGTAAGAGACTCACCAGTAAAGTTGTGCACTCCAAACGTCAGATTCCAAGGATCGTAGAGCACCAAACTCTTCGGCGGGTGGGCGAACGTGGGGAGGGGAGCAGGGCCGATGCACCCACGAGACGGGCTGTCGTAAAATGATTACGCAACACGCAACTGGTTGCGCACACGCGACGCGGGCGATTGAAAGCAAAAACGTCAGTGTCGCGACGAACGTCACCGTCGTTGTCTGCGAGTTAGACTATTATCGAGCGTATCGTGCCGAGAGAAAGAGACGTACACGCGAATCAAACGCGCGGCGAAGATAGAGAGAATGTGTGTATGAGAACGAGAGAGAAAGGTTGACGACGAATGTGCAAGAGAGACAAGCTCGCGTCTTCGAAAGAGAGCGAGACAAAGAGGTTATATTATGCTATAGGGGCGTTCACTCACGAAGCACCGCTTTCACAGCCGTGAGAGTAGGGCGCCTACGGCTTGACAGCTGGGCAAAAAAATCGACGAAATCGGCGAACCCGGCGCGACAACGTTCACTCACCACACTGTCCGCGTACTGTCGAGCGCGTCTATGTTCACATGTTCATTTCGCTCAGGAGCTCGCGTTCGTGCGATCTCGGCCGCGCTCGGCTCCGTCCGCCGCCCGGTGTCGCGCTCACGCGCCCTCTCGAGTTGTCTCAGCGGTACTATTGTACTTTATATATCACTCGTTACATCTAAATATGTATATATATGTAACACCGATATCATTGCGTAGCACGAAGAGAACAATTTCTAATCTAAACGAGACTTCAACTCGACGTCATATATAATTTTACAATTAATAGATATTCATTCTGTGACATATGTATAAAAGAGATTACTTTCACACAAGAATATATATTCATAATAAAATAATTATTTACCATAATAAATATACACATTGAAATATCATTACCTTTTGTTATGTGTACGTATGTAAAATATAAGATGAGATGGATTTTATTTATTATCTTAAATGTTTATCTCGTCATCCTCTATTCTTTCTTATGTATATATATTTATATTATATAGAAATTTATAATTTCTATCAAATTTATATATTCTCACGAACTGACCTGTAGCACTTGACCCCTACAATGTGTTTCTGTGCGACATGTAATCTAATAGCGAGGGATGTAATAAAACAACCTCCACGGAAAAACGTAAAAGAACGTATTATAAATATAAACATACGCAGGCCTCTCTCTTTCTCTCTCTCTCTCTCTCTCGTATATATAATATATTATTATCACCATCCTGCGAGAAGCACGAACGCGAAATTCCGAAAGAAGCAACGGTACAGTACTACCATCTCGAGAGGCTCGCTCGAATTTTCATCATTCATGGTTGATACCATTGACAGCGACAAATTCTTATCTTCGTTCGGTACTGCGATCGATTAATAAATTATGCGAATTATTATGAATGTGGGAGTCACACTTGAACCGGCAAATCTTTATTAATCTAAAAGATTAGGCGACCATTGTTTTCGGTCATTTTTTACGCTCTAATCTCGCTTTATCGTAAAAATGCAAGTTTATTTTTTTAGGACAAGGAGTGAAAAATATATTTTGTCAAATGAGATATGTTTCATGTTTCTATCTCTTTCTCTTTTCCTCTGCATCGTGAATTACTTTATCCAATTATTATTTCTAGGAAAATGTTCAATTTCTTGTAATTATGTGAAGCAAAATTTTTACGTCTAAATGTATAATAAAATTATCTCTATTTCGAATAATTTTTCCCTTTCTCGCGCATGTGTAATACTTACTTCAACCGTCTGATATCTCGATAACGCAGCGCGCGCGATCTTATATATAGATATATATCCCGATAAACGTGACCCAGAAATAGATGACCGCAATTTGATGGGTTATGAAAACACTAAGCGTTGAAGTCACTAAACGCACGCGACAAGTTTTTAGGACAAGGAGTGAAAAATATATTTTGTCAAATGAGATATGTTTCATGTTTCTCTTTCTCTTTTCCTCTTCATCGTGAATTACTTTATCCAATTATTATTTCTAGGAAAATGTTCAATTTCTTGTAATTATGTGAAGCAAAATTTTTACGTCTAAATGTATAATAAAATTATCTCTATTTCGAATAATTTTTCCCTTTCTCGCGCATGTGTAATACTTACTTCAACCGTCTGATATCTCGATAACGCAGCGCGCGCGATCTTATATATAGATATATATCCCGATAAACGTGACCCAGAAATAGATGACCGCAATTTGATGGGTTATGAAAACACTAAGCGTTGAAGTCACTAAACGCAAGCAACAAGTGACTCGACGATCTCACCGAGCGAGCTTTCGGCGCGAAGGTGCGAGAGCGCGTTTTTTTGGCGTTCAAATCTCTCGAACTGTAATCGCGAACGGTGGTCGCTTATCGCGATATGATACGCTTGAAATTGCCATGATACGATGGAAGATGCATAGACGTAGGAAATATAGAATTAGAAAAAGAACGCAATGTGTCGGAAGTACTTTCATCTCTTTTTAACTAGAGAAAAATTGTTCCCATGGTAACCATAGTCATGGTAACCAGACTTCTAAAACCTTGCGGTTTTTTTTTTCTAATTTTAGCAGAACATTTGTTTGATACGCGCAGTTTTATTTCCTACGTTTATGACTGCGCCAAATATGTATAATTTGATTACGAATAATTTAAAGCGATTCTTCTGAAATCGAGATAAAATCTTCCGTTTCGAAATTTAATACTTAAAAAAAAACGCTTAATACAAATCACATGTTATAATACTGTACTATAGTGTAGAATGTTTTACAAACACAAAATATATATCAAATCATTATAATAACTAGATGTATTTTATTATTATATTGTTCCTCCTTCTTTCTTTATCCAATGCATGGAGCACATACTTGCTGCATTTTAAATATGGGGAAAATATAATAATTAGAAAACAAAACGACGATAATAATAGAACAACGAATCGACCCAGCAAACACAGAATATAACTGCTATATAACATGGGAATAACATGTAATGTAACGGTTGTTATACCTAATTTATGAAATCTATTATCGCAATTTACTTCTATATCTATACTTGTTAACGCTTCCAATGTAAACTGGTAATTTCGCGTAGAGACAAAATGACGTCATTAAGATTGATCATGAGAGGGACATTATGGATCCCACACATAATAAAAGCTGAGGCAGCTATTTAAGCCCGACAAAATGAGTCATCGGGAACCGCGCTGCTAATGCGATCAAGCTTAACGGCATCCTTTGTTTACTTCGCTCATATGTGCTTATATTTTATCACGGCGTGGGCTCTTCCTATCGGGAGCGACGTGATGTCATCCGAGGGAAGAGAATTATACGAGATTTTCACACACACTCTCTTGTGCGTGATTCGTCATGAAAAAAGTATATTAGTCTCCGTTAATTATGCATAAATAAAATTACCGTATTGTTTGATCGCGGTTGACAGGAATCTACTATATCTATCAATGATATCGCGGTTCTGAGAGAAATTTGTTATGTTAACCGATGATGCGCGTGCGTGCGTTCTTTAAATCGTCGTGCATCCACCTTTACTTTGCGTCTCTCTCTATTTGCATTCCGTCCGATATATATTCCTTGTAAACAAAAGTAATACAAGTAATAATACTTTCAACAAGAATTAAATTGATAGAAAATAAAAGTCATATTCTTCTCAAAGATGATATATACAATAGAAATTTGTTACGTATTCTTTTTTTTTTTTTTTTTAAGTAATTAAATGGTCGTGTGAAAAATTGATTGAAAAGTTTATTTCCAACTTGTTTAAAAACATAGTTTCTTTAGTTTCAAATAAATTTATACGTTAGCTTAGTATGAGCTTGCCGCATTTCTGCGACACGTATTAACTTTCATACTTCAGAGATACGATTCAAAACATAATTATTGAAAGCGGAGGAACAAAAGGGATAGAGGATTTTTACGGGGTGCGATTTGTCGTCGCGTCGGGAAACCGCCCGCGCCATCGGACGTCGTGTCGTTGTACTATCGACCGTAATATCGTCCTCGTCGTCGTCCGTCGTCGCGACTTCACCCCCCTGCTCGAGCTCCGCCGGGACGGCTCGGTTCAGCTCAGCTCGGCGTAGCTCGGCGGAGCTTGAAGCGCCATCGAAGATGGCGACCGGAGGGTAGGGTCGGGTCGGAGACGCGGACGGCAAGGCAACCTCTTCCCCGGGTGGAGACGGCCGTGACGGATATCGGGGCGAGCCGCCCGCCCGCTCGTGTCGAAGTCGCTCCGGTGAGTAAGAGACGGCCCGCGGCCACATTCACCTCCCTGCCGAAATATATATCACGTGTGCGCGTAGCACCTGTCGGCGGCGGCCGCGGGTAACTAACTACATCGCGCGCTTCGGCGGCGCGCCGACGAAATCTCGCGATCCCTATGCCTTTCGGTAAGTTCAATGCGCACAGATCCGTGTCACGTAGAACGTCGACGAGAAATGGGAGCAACGCGCGTGTGTACATATGCGACGCGTGCACGCGTGTGTATGTGCGCGCGTGTATCGTACGCCGCGAGCCTAATCTATATACGCAGGAAAGAAAGAAGATATTGTCGAATGCGAGCTGTGTCGAGATGTGTGTGAGGAGAGATTGGGAAATATTAAAAATCGTATACGCGAAAAATTGAAAAACAAAAGAAATTTGTGATGAGACAAAATAATCTATTAGCTTAATTTTTGGACAAACTTAGGCTTTAGATTTTCGAGTCGACGATTACGTCGTGTCATTTGCATTAAAAATTACAGTACTTTAAAGAATCATGTCACTTCTTTATTATCTGTTTTATTATACTAAACGCGATTTTATATTCTATATTCAAATAGATAAATATCTAATTATATATTATTGCTAAGATTTAATAGGATATCCAACACACATACACACACATTTCGAGCTGAATATATTAAATGTAAATGTAAAATTTCCCTGTCAAACACGTTAGCGAAGGATCTCGAGTTGCGTTCCGAGTGCAATGCAATTTTGTTAACGAAGCATCATCCTAGCACGAGCGCTTTATATTTCTCGTTAGCTATGTCACACTCCTCAGGTTGCTCCACTTTCCTCGCAAGCGCCGTCGTCAACGGTGGTGACAAAAATTGATCGGCGTGGTTAGCAGATCGGGTCACGTAAAGGCGTTGCGAGCTTTCAATCGCGCAATGTAAATGCCCTCCGCGATCAATGCCTCCGCGTACTCGTATACAAGGTGTCCCACCATCAGCCGCGTAAGATATTAATGATTTTCAACGGGCTTGGATGCTTTATTTTCTTCACAGTGAAAACTTTCGGAAAAAAATATATATAAAAACTTTCGGAAAAAAAAATATATATTTCTGCTTTAATAATATTAAAAATTTGAAAGTATCGAAGATTCTTCACGACTCTCTCAAGCTTCAAGAATATAAGAATTTCCCAGACAGTACAAAAAGGCTAAAAGACATCTTAAAGATGTCTAAAGGACGATAAGATGTCTTTTAGGAACATATGTTGTCTCTGGATTGTTCTAAATATTTTTTCCGATATTTTGTTCTATATAATATTAAATATCGTAATTGTTGATTTTTATATCAAAATCGAGTCGATTGACAAAATCGATAAATTGATAAAATGATCTATCAATTTATTGTAACTTTGTTGCTACTAGTTGAACATCCTATATATGAATATAAGAGACATTGCCCTTCCCGTGTTTATTTTTACTTCACTTTTTTAGCCAAGTTTTCTATATTGGAAAATACTTAAATATTTTATTTCCGATTTGTGTACATGTATTTCATTGATGTATTTCACATCAAAATGCAGTTTTTAAGAAAAGAACTAATTATGTTATTTAATGTAATATATAGTATTATATTATATAAAGCTTGATTTGCTATTTGTATCTTTATCGCTATTAAAATACTAAAAAATGTTGATTTATTCGCCAAAGTTGAAATTAAAATGCTTTCGATATTAGTGAGAATTTCGTAATAAAAGGAATCTAATTAAAAACTTTTATTATATTTATAATAATATTATAATTGTGAATAATATTATTTATAGGTCAAACTAACCAGAAATACTTAACACTGCATTTTAATTGTCGTAACTCTTAAAGTGCTTATTTCGTCGTAATATTTTTCTGTGTATCTTTAACATTCGTAAATATAAATGAGACTACATATTATCAATGGGACGTAATTTAATATTGCTCTCTGTGTTTCTAATTTTTTTCAGATGGTGGTGGGTTACTCCGATTTTCCGGTAATTCAGGAATAGAAGTCGGCATATGCAGTAGCTAAAAAACATATTAACATACAAACGCACATATTAATGCACAAACTCACGCTCGTTTTTCCTTTCGATATCGAAATAGCGATTAACGCGCCAATATTCATACTTTCTTTACTCGTCAACATCTAGTCAGAAAGATAGAAAGAAGAAAGAAGATACAATTCGGCGAAAAAAGAAGCCTTCGATTGAGATAAGGGTCGACACATACGAGTAACCGAAACCAAACCAAAGCGTATAAATATAGAACGAAGATAACCGAGCTGATTCACACAGAGGAATCTCGACGGTCATCCTTTTCACGAGGCGTTGCGCGGTGATATCATACCAAAGAAAAATCGATCCTATACTAAGTTCCTGTCTACTCCAACTATATCAGCTGTAATGGAGTAACGAGATACAAAAGCGAACAATCGATCATTCGAGATCAAATCTGAAAAAATCGATCGTGGAGCCTTTTTATCAATATTGAATTAATTAGATAAGATAATTAAGAACCGACAGATTTAATCGCGCGAAGTATCATACAAGTGTCATTAAAGTAATAGAGATTATGCTTAAGTGCAGCAAATAAAAAAAAAAAATTTATTTAGATTAGCTGAGAAAGCATCTTGAAAAAGCGATCGATATTATTGCGAAATGCGTTGGACGTTATCGATCTGATGTGGAACGACGACTCGAAAATTGCGACGGGTTGATCGAGTTCCCCGGTAACATCGATGCGGTGTTGGTCGGTCGAGTCAGCGTTTCCAATTCAGCGACCGCAGGAAATGACATGTGCGAAAGGACTGTCTTTCACTAAAAGGACGGTCCATCGTAGTCTCTGCAAGAGTTGATGGGACGGACAAGCAGAGGACGAACGCAAAACGCACATTGCTGATTTCTATGGTCCGTTCAAGCGTCGCTCTAGAGATTGAAAACCACGTCAAAGATAAAATCCCGAAAGGCTCGAGGTAAGTCACTTTTAATATCTGTTAAACGAATCTTCTTATATGGCGGTGTAATTAACAGTTAAGATAATGTTTTATTATAGGAAAAATTAACAATCGATTGACGAAGCGAGAATTGAAGTTGTCAATAATTTATACACAGAAAGAACAACAGCTTCTAAATAAACGCAGTCTCTAGAGAGACTCGAACGCTTATACTTTAAAATCAATGAGAACCAAAGACGAGATAAGCCGCGCTGTACATTTCGAATGCGTGATCTTATTCGGGAATCTCCAAGACAAATTAGCTTCGAAGTAAAGTAGACGACGATAAATGTTGCGATGAGTAGGCGAATGACAGGGTGAAAAAGGTGAGAGGTCACAGACATAAGAAAGGAAGGGTTGCGGTGATAGCCGTGCGAAGGGAGGCCGAGGACTCGTCTGGAAGAACGCGGAAAGAGCGACGGAGTGGCGGAAGCGAGGGCTTTCAGTGAGCAAGAGAGAGAGAGAGAGAGTTAGCTATGTCACACTCCTCAGGTTGCTCCACTTTCCTCGCAAGCGCCGTCGTCAACGGTGGTGACAAAAATTGATCGGCGTGGTTAGCAGATCGGGTCACGTAAAGGCGTTGCGAGCTTTCAATCGCGCAATGTAAATGCCCTCCGCGATCAATGCCTCCGCGTACTCGTATACAAGGTGTCCCACCATCAGCCGCGTAAAATATTAATAATTTTCAACGGGCTTGGATGCTTTATTTTCTTCACAGTGAAAACTTTCGGAAAAAAATATATATAAAAACTTTCGGAAAAAAAAATATATATTTCTGCTTTAATAATATTAAAAATTTGAAAGTATCGAAGATTCTTCACGACTCTCTCAAGCTTCAAGAATATAAGAATTTCCCAGACAGTACAAAAAGGCTAAAAGACATCTTAAAGATGTCTAAAGGACGATAAGATGTCTTTTAGGAACATATGTTGTCTCTGGATTGTTCTAAATATTTTTTCCGATATTTTGTTCTATATAATATTAAATATCGTAATTGTTGATTTTTATATCAAAATCGAGTCGATTGACAAAATCGATAAATTGATAAAATGATCTATCAATTTATTGTAACTTTGTTGCTACTAGTTGAACATCCTATATATGAATATAAGAGACATTGCCCTTCCCGTGTTTATTTTTACTTCACTTTTTTAGCCAAGTTTTCTATATTGGAAAATACTTAAATATTTTATTTCCGATTTGTGTACATGTATTTCATTGATGTATTTCACATCAAAATGCAGTTTTTAAGAAAAGAACTAATTATGTTATTTAATGTAATATATAGTATTATATTATATAAAGCTTGATTTGCTATTTGTATCTTTATCGCTATTAAAATACTAAAAAATGTTGATTTATTCGCCAAAGTTGAAATTAAAATGCTTTCGATATTAGTGAGAATTTCGTAATAAAAGGAATCTAATTAAAAACTTTTATTATATTTATAATAATATTATAATTGTGAATAATATTATTTATAGGTCAAACTAACCAGAAATACTTAACACTGCATTTTAATTGTCGTAACTCTTAAAGTGCTTATTTCGTCGTAATATTTTTCTGTGTATCTTTAACATTCGTAAATATAAATGAGACTACATATTATCAATGGGACGTAATTTAATATTGCTCTCTGTGTTTCTAATTTTTTTCAGATGGTGGTGGGTTACTCCGATTTTCCGGTAATTCAGGAATAGAAGTCGGCATATGCAGTAGCTAAAAAACATATTAACATACAAACGCACATATTAATGCACAAACTCACGCTCGTTTTTCCTTTCGATATCGAAATAGCGATTAACGCGCCAATATTCATACTTTCTTTACTCGTCAACATCTAGTCAGAAAGATAGAAAGAAGAAAGAAGATACAATTCGGCGAAAAAAGAAGCCTTCGATTGAGATAAGGGTCGACACATACGAGTAACCGAAACCAAACCAAAGCGTATAAATATAGAACGAAGATAACCGAGCTGATTCACACAGAGGAATCTCGACGGTCATCCTTTTCACGAGGCGTTGCGCGGTGATATCATACCAAAGAAAAATCGATCCTATACTAAGTTCCTGTCTACTCCAACTATATCAGCTGTAATGGAGTAACGAGATACAAAAGCGAACAATCGATCATTCGAGATCAAATCTGAAAAAATCGATCGTGGAGCCTTTTTATCAATATTGAATTAATTAGATAAGATAATTAAGAACCGACAGATTTAATCGCGCGAAGTATCATACAAGTGTCATTAAAGTAATAGAGATTATGCTTAAGTGCAGCAAATAAAAAAAAAAAAATTTATTTAGATTAGCTGAGAAAGCATCTTGAAAAAGCGATCGATATTATTGCGAAATGCGTTGGACGTTATCGATCTGATGTGGAACGACGACTCGAAAATTGCGACGGGTTGATCGAGTTCCCCGGTAACATCGATGCGGTGTTGGTCGGTCGAGTCAGCGTTTCCAATTCAGCGACCGCAGGAAATGACATGTGCGAAAGGACTGTCTTTCACTAAAAGGACGGTCCATCGTAGTCTCTGCAAGAGTTGATGGGACGGACAAGCAGAGGACGAACGCAAAACGCACATTGCTGATTTCTATGGTCCGTTCAAGCGTCGCTCTAGAGATTGAAAACCACGTCAAAGATAAAATCCCGAAAGGCTCGAGGTAAGTCACTTTTAATATCTGTTAAACGAATCTTCTTATATGGCGGTGTAATTAACAGTTAAGATAATGTTTTATTATAGGAAAAATTAACAATCGATTGACGAAGCGAGAATTGAAGTTGTCAATAATTTATACACAGAAAGAACAACAGCTTCTAAATAAACGCAGTCTCTAGAGAGACTCGAACGCTTATACTTTAAAATCAATGAGAACCAAAGACGAGATAAGCCGCGCTGTACATTTCGAATGCGTGATCTTATTCGGGAATCTCCAAGACAAATTAGCTTCGAAGTAAAGTAGACGACGATAAATGTTGCGATGAGTAGGCGAATGACAGGGTGAAAAAGGTGAGAGGTCACAGACATAAGAAAGGAAGGGTTGCGGTGATAGCCGTGCGAAGGGAGGCCGAGGACTCGTCTGGAAGAACGCGGAAAGAGCGACGGAGTGGCGGAAGCGAGGGCTTTCAGTGAGCAAGAGAGAGAGAGAGAGAGAGTGAGGAGGGGGAAGAGGAGCGCCCCATCAAGAGGGGTGCACATCGGGCTGATATCGACCGAGGATTGCGCTTGCGTGGAAAAAGGCGCGAGCGCAATCGCTCCAAGAGAGCAGCGGCGTCCTCCGCGTCGAAAGAGGAAGAGGAACCTCTCGTTTCCCGTCGTCAGTCGATCGTCGCGCCGACGAGGAACGGGCTGTCGCAGCCGCCGTCCGGGAAAGACTTCCGGCATCCTCCTGGCAGAGGCCGGCAGGGCCCCGGTGTACGACACGGTGATTCCAACGCCCGCACTGGCCCGCACTTCCGGGAGCCCGAGCTGCCCTGCCCGGGCGCGATCTCGCGGTGAGCTCGATTCCGCTCGGCACCGCGTCAGAAATCGTCACCATCACCGGGGGGGACGGGGAAAAACCGGCGCGAGCGGTCGGGAAGGGGAGCAGGCGAGGTATATCGGGACGATAAGAACGCGATAAGCGGACCCGCGCTTTATAAACGCCTGTGTGCGCGTGTACGTGCGTATCTTTTCCTCTCCTCTTCGCCTCTCTTGCTTTCTCGGCCTGACCTCGTCGTCGTTCGCGCCGATAAAAGACGAATCCAGAGGTTTCTTTGAGAACAACAGCGCCGCAGCCAGTTCGGATATGACGATACCACGGCGCGGTTATTAGGGCATTAAATAACAAACAAAGTTTAATATCCGGATTCAATAGAATTTGTCAAATGTTTTGCTTCGTCGCTGATAACGCGGTCGCGTCGCGTTTGTCAGATTTAATCGCACGACATGAAGCGACATCGATGCCTGGCGGTTTCATCCGGTTTCATTCGGAATTGACTTATCGTATGCATAATAAATTCACAAGCCGAGCAATCGCGATTCGGTATAAGAGAACTGTCGGGATTTATTTATAGAGAGTTTGATCTTGACCTACGTATCGTACGATATCGGATTTCGTACTTATCGGCGTAGTTCTTCGGGGTAGTAACGCGTGTTTACGAGTGTGAGCGGGGAAAAAACCGATGATCGATGCGAGTTATCTAAAGCCGAGCAATTGATACGTCATACAGTATGCTGAGATAATCAAAGTCAAGCGTCGAAGTCTCTCAAGGCGTTATATCGTGATCGCGCTATCTGTGGCAAGGCGCAATGATCAGCATGCAGCAGCAGACAGTCTTGAACCAGGTAGCCGGGTCTGAGCAGCCGCAGGAGGAAGTTCAACTGACCGAATTGTTGCCGGTGAAGCAGTCGCGCATCAGGGAGAATATCTTCAAGGACGGTGATGCGACCGATGCTCTGAGAGCACTTAGGAGTTTTTCAGGCGATTGCGGCGACGGTGAAAGCTTCGATTATAACTTCTGCAAAAGCGTCGAGCAATTGGAACGTCAAAGTAATGGTAAGCATCGACGAGCGGAAACTCGTCGAAGGAGGACGGACGAGCTTAGGAACAATGCTGAAGATGTAGATTCCGATGAAGAGAAGAATGATGATGAGGCGATAGGGAAGAACGCGAAGAAAACGCGAAATAGCAAGAATATTCGCGTGAAAGCGCCGAAGAGAAAATTAGCGAGATCTAGCAAAAGGAAAGACAATGACAGGGATAGCGATTATGGAACGAACGAGAAATCGATCAGAAAGAATTCTACCAGATGCGATGAAGAGTTTGCGCCCGATTACGACGAAGAAGACGTCGACGATCAGCTTTATTTGGATTTGGATAAAAGAGATTGTTTTAAGGATGAAGTATACGTATACAGACGGGAACCGCTGGATCCATGCTCGAGCTCGGAACCAGAGGAAACAGGATCAATCCGAGATCGCGAGATTCAGCAGACTTGTTCAATGGAACTACTCGACGGAAGAGAAGTTTCGCTAAGAACATCAAGAATGACGAAAAAGAAAAATGTGAAACGTCCAACGTCGACGAAGTCGTCGAGAAAGAAAATTCCGAGAAAGAACTCAGACTAAAAATCGATGCTATCATTCAAGCGAATTATTTGCTGGAGCGAGAGAACAACAACGTCGTCGGTTCCGAGAAACTCAAAATCGCGGAAAATATTAGCAGCTCTTCCACTGCCGCTTCGATAAACGCAGAAAGTAGCGATAGCTCTCTGTGCAATTCTGTCGAGACGAAGAAGGCGACGAAGAGAAAGAAGAAGAAAAGGAAAACTGAGCAGAATACGCAGGCGAAGGACCAACAAAATCCTCAGAAGAAGTATTGCTGCGTCATGTGTGACGCTCGCTTTAAGGGTAGCGGTGGTCTGCGGAATCACTACAAGGTGGTGCATGGCGCCGGACCGGTGTTCAAATGCGATGAGTGCGGTAAGGAATTTCCGCTGAAGGAACGGCTGAAATTGCACGTGCGCACGCACACCGGCTTCAAGCCGTATAAATGTCCAGAGTGCGATAAGAGCTTTGCGCGAGGCGGTCAACTGGTACAACATCGTCGCACGCATAGCCAGGTCAGACCATTCCGCTGTGGCCTGTGTTCCAACAGCTTTACCTGCGCGGCCAATCTGTCGCTCCATGTGAAACGTCACAACGGCCAGAAGGATCACAAATGCGATCTATGTGGTCGCGCCTTCGTGCGTCGTGACGCCCTGAAGAAGCACCTGGAGTGTCTACACCGTGACGTCAAGTCGTTCCTCTGCGCAATCTGCAACAAGACTTTCAAGGGTCACCTACCGCAGCACATGAGGACACATGCACGCGACCGTCCGCACGGCTGCGCCACATGCGGCCAGCGATTCGCTCAAAAGTCTCAGCTGACCGTGCACCAGAGGACCCATTCTGGCCAGCGACCTTTCCGCTGTCTTGTATGTTGGCAGGCCTTCGCTCACTCGACTGCCCTAAAATTGCACACCCGCCGCCACACCGGCGAACGACCCTTCAAATGTTCCGAGTGCAACGCCGGCTTCACTCAGCTGCCGCATTGGAAGAAGCACATGAAGTGCATACACGGCAGGAATGATCCGTACGGTTGCAAACGTTGCAAGAGTTTCTTTAGGATCAAGAGCGACCTGGAGAGTCATGAGAAAACCTGCCATCCGGAGATGGAAGTGGAGGACGACGGTAGCAGTATCGCCAGCAAACCGACTGGCGGCCCCGAAATTGTCGAGAAGAACTCAGTTACTGCGAAGTATAAGCTGATGACAGTGGAAAAAATGCGGCTGCTATTAGCGGTGCTGCTGAAGAGGATCAGCAAGCAGGAGCGATTGGACGAGCTCGGCTTCGGTAAACGGCTCATCGATGATGTTCTTCAGGACTCGCTAGTGTCTGCTGGTAAGGAACCGATCACGGGGGGCGGTTTGTCCGAACTCGAGGTTCTCACCCGAAACCTGGAGATCTTCCTGGAATGGACGGTGCCGAAGGAACACTGGGAGAATTTCCGTAAGATGAAAAAGTCGCCAGAGGATATTCTGGAAGCGCTCACGGCTACGTAAATATATTCGTTTGCTAACAATAACTTTATTATCTTCCTGTCGGTGTGAGATTTATGAGATAGCAAAATTAGATCGGCAGTAAAATCATCTCGCACGCGTTTATATAGACGATGGAATGTTTCAACAAATGTTTTTTTTTTTTTGTGTATTTTATCGATTCCAGTTACGTCAAAATTTACATCAAAATTTAATCATTTACAATTCAAATCATCTAACATTTTATAACTTTTCAAAACTTTTTCCTGATACTTCGATATCTTTTATCTAATGTCATCTAACATTCGATTTTTCATTTAATATTTACACGCAGTTATATATATATATATATATATATATATATTTTAATGATCTCTACATCATCGTTATTCTTAATAATGATAAAGATTAATAATGAATTCTTTTTTCTCACGCAAGGACTATAGGGGCATTTTTAATCAATCAACGGAAGATGAAATAATCAGGGCTAGATTTAAATCTATTGACCCGCGTATATATAGTTTCTCTCTCTGTTTTTTTTTTCTTACGTAAGATTCTTTTTACCATTTGAAATTGGAAAATGCGTAACATTTCACCGTTTTCCGTGTGATATAGATGTAATCTATAATAATTAACACGAATGTGTTAAATAATCTCCTGTGGTGCCATGTGTCGTAATACTTGCCATACTGAACCAGTGAGTATACCGTATTGTTTAGAAGCTAAAGTAAAATATAAATTCGTCATTTTATTTATAATGTAAAGTAAATTAACGAAGAGTGGCGCGTTGTTGAATTGAAAAAAATCGATGCAAAGAAAGCACACGTGTTTTTCTCAAATGACAGATGTAAACCATGCACCGCGCTTCTTTACGCGATTTTACACGACTGAAGTAGAGTTAGATGTTCTCTTGCCATATTTGTTAAAACATACATACATACAAATGCACATTAGTGAAGAATACAATGGAGGCTTGCATTTTTGCACTTACATTTAATCGTAAGCACATACGACTGTTCGTTAACCGTATACCAAAAAATGAGGCTACGAGTCATTCATAATTATGTATGTTCTTTCACACATGCAATCGTTATTATCCTTACATATTTATAAAGATATACACACACATACATACATATATATATATATATATCTATTATATATATACATATTTATAAATTGAATATTATGAGATTTTTTGTTATGTGTTCACGGGTACGTTTAGAAAACTGTCCTGCGCGACGTTCCCGTTTGTAGTTGACACTATTATTCGTTATTTATCTCATTCTTAAGTGCGCTCGCGCGCAATTAACGATACGGCTTGATTGGCCGCGGATGAGCAAACATGTTGCGCCATTGCCATCACTTTAGATAGTCGTAAGTAAATGTGAACAGACAATAATGAACGAAGGTTGCAAGATTAGTATATTAGTCATTGAGAAAAAGATATATATTATATCCATATACATCCATATACACACACATATAGAGTACATCGGAAATCGTAACGTAATCAAAATGGAGATGTGATTTCTTGTGCAAAAATAAGTTGAAAATGTGGAATAAAATTCTTTCGCATAAGCTTTGTTATCGAGAAGATTAATTCTCTTTAAAAGCTGGAAAATTTATAACATAATATTGTTTTAAGCTTAAATGACTTTTAACGATCTTCTGTCATATGCTGTCGGATATCTCGATGGCTATTAATACATAAATAAAAAAAGTATATTTCACGTTTAGTAAAACAATTTAAAATAATTTAAGTTATATATTGCAAGGAGAGTAGTTATGTACATAATATATCAAGATCACTTATTTTTTTCAATAGAATATTATATCTTTTTATAGATATCTTTCTGATAATTATTGTCGAAATAAATTCGATAATCGAATTTTTGCTTTGCGTGTTTGCGATCTTGATCAAATCTGCTTTAAAATTTTTTTATTTACCTAACAAACTCGATTTTACGAGAGCCATCTCGCAAAGTCTCAATTTTTATATCTATTAATTGTCAAAATACGTCTCTCTCATTTAAAATGCAGATAATTGCTTTAGTGCACAATTATCATTATTTTAAGTTGTTTGTTTAATGTTTAAATGGAATGTTGTATTTTTTATTTGTGTTAAAATAGTCGTTATCGAGAGGATACATATATGACATAAGGTTATTAGAGATCATTTAAGCTTAAAAAACATAAATATATTTAATTTAATTAATTTTCCAATTTTCTCAAAAATAAAGTACAAGAAATACGACGTACAAAAAATTTATTCTACATCTTTGACTTATTTTTGCATGAGAAATCATCTCTATTTTGGTCGCACTATAATTTCCGATACATTCTGTATATATATATGTATATACATATATATCTGCGAGGGGAGAGGAACATGAAACATATCTTATTTTAATTCTAAAGATGCCAAAAATCTTGGAAAATTGATCGCCTCCATGAAAAAAGTAGAATTGCGTGCAATAATATAAAATCACTATCAAAATGTGTAATTATTTGATAAATAGTTATAGACAAATAGTTTTCTTTATAGATGATTGTTACTAATACATACAATCAAAAATAACATTATATTGTTAGTATTGAACAACGTTAGTTCGTGTGTTCGCGAAAAGTTCCTTTCCTCGACCTACCATTAGAATATTTCTCGATCGTGCGTACGGCTAAGAATAGTCAAAAATACTGCAATCGACGTGCAGGTGCTATTTTATGCATTGTAGTCTAAAATTTGAAAACTTATTGTACGAGAATGATTCATTCTCAGCTTTTCCGTCTTTCGGTACACGAAACGATCGAGATATGATGTCGAATCCAAAGACTTTGTTACTATTTCATTGCCAAATATATTGTGTTACCGTTACGTTTGATATAATTTTGATTTTATTATTAACGGCTATATATCGAGATGTATTTTGCATTGTGCGTCTGTAAAGCGAAGACCGTATGTACAAGCGGCGCATATTTATGCGTGTGACGCACCTTAATGTATTAACATGAGCGCGAGCGTATGGCGCATGCAGTTTGACTTGCGTTTTCAAATTTATTCGGAAGATCGAAATCTCTACGCTTTAGCTCGTGCGAATGCAAATGAGGATCGAAGTGCATTTTGAATATAGATCGAGGTCAAAGAAGAGCCGTCTCGAATAGTTAATGGGAGACGCGTTGCTTCCCACATTTTTTAACTTGACGAAGCTTATACTCTTCGATGACTTTAAACTATGTGGTGCCAAAGCGAATAAACAACGCTCGCGAAAATGATAGTGGTCCATATTATCTACGTTTTTCTGCGAATTTTATTGTTCAACGTTTTTTTTTCCCACGAAAATACATTATCATTACAATCATATGTTTCTTTTCTCTCGTGCTTTTATAATCAACATTGATAAAATTAGAATATCATTATTTTTCTTTAGTGCCATAAACAATAGTCATATTTATATATGTATATTGTACGATGAGAGAAGACAATTTGAATAAACATGTTTCTTTACTCGCTTGTCTCCTTTAAAGTTAATCAATATGATTTTTGTAAATATTATTCCACAATTACATAAACAGCGACAACTGTTTAATTTTCACATTTCTTTATCAAGTGAGAAATAAAATGTATATTATATCTCAAAGAGTATATCTAATACGTATAATATTAAAAAATATATGTTTAAAAATATATAGCAAACTTATATGTATTAATGTAAATATATTTTTACTTAAGCATATATCACATATGTTATATTAATTATTATGAGTTATGAGATTTACATACGTGATCGAAAATTTATATGAAATCAATAGTATCATTCGGCATTGCTTTCTTGAGCTTCATATGACCAATAAAATATAAACAATTGTCTCATGTCCACTTGTAAGCCAGTGATACTTAAACTCTGAAATAATTTTTGGATATTTAAAAATTCATATATTTCTCTATTAAAATATTATATCATTTTGTTATTATTTTTAAACATTTATATTCAGTATAAAACTTACCGATGTGAAAATATCGTATTTAAATCCTATCTCATTCTTATTTAGGAACACTCTGGACACTTGTTTCTGTAATCCCAAAATCTGGACTTTTCCAAGAATCACTTCTTCATTAAAAGAGCCATCCACTTTTGTGTTCACTAAGTTGGATTTATTTGCAGTGAAAGATAACCACAAATATTCCTTCTTTTTTATGGAATCTGCAGATTAAAAAGAAATAATTAGAAAGATCAATAAGATATATAGAGCTCCATTTAATTGTACAATATATAAAATAACTTTTACATACCTATACTATCACCATCATCCCAATACAGTTCTCCTTCAGCATTGCCAGCTTCGTTTAATGCTACTATCAATTCAAAATAATTTTTTCTGCTCTCTGTAGTCGTTGCACTCGGTTTCTGTGCTGGAAGTATCGAGCCTCCACGAATCAATAATGGTATTTTATCGATTGGAGCAGGTAGTGTATAATGTTTTCCAATGGAAAAGAAGAAATGAAGACTATAATAATCATACCATAGGCCACGTGGTATATAAACAGCTATATTAGTTTTATTCTGTAAAATATAAATAATAACGATTAACAAAATATCAAAGCGTCTTATATGTAATAAAGTAAATAATTAAATAAAGATTGAGAGCGTACTTCTTCAAGAACTGGATTGATCATAAGCGCACTTCCCCAAAGAAATTGTGTATCAATGCCGTAAGTCTGTCGATCATCGGTGAACCTATATCGTGTATATATCATTAGTATAATGTGAAATATATATGAGACAAGACACCGATACATACTCAATAAATAACGGACGTGCCACTGTTTCGCCGAACTTATGTGCTCTAAAGAATAAAGTATACAAATATGGTAAAAGTCGATAACGTATTTTGAGAGCATTCTTTGTCGATTGTACAACCAAATCGCCCATAGCAACTGGATCCTGCTCCTGTATATAACACATTTATACATTATGTAGAAAATATTTCAATAATTTTATTATTAATTCATATTTTGACATTCTCTTACAATTGTTTCATCGGAATTATGATTTCGAGAAAATGGATAGAAAGCACCAAGTTGCATCCAGCGATTGCACAACGCTGTAGTTGTGTTTCCATCAAAACCGCAAATGTCAGCGCCCACCATTGGGATTTGATAGAAATTGAGTGACAAAATGGCTGGAATGCTCATTCTTAAGTCATGCCTAATAAAACAAGCTCTTTAATTAGTAAATAAATAAAGAATACAATTATATAGTAAATTATATTTATATTATGAAATTACCATGATGAATAAACATCACCCGTCCAATGGCCTGCGTAATGACCATGCCCTACCCATGTCGAACGTGATATTATAAATGGTCTCTTCTGTCTGATTTTCCTGAGGGCACTGCACATAGTTTAAAACAATACATTTTTAAATAAAATAAGTTCTCTTTATAAAATTTGGAAGAAGATTAGGTGAATTGTATTTCTATTTACTAATTTGTTGCAATTGCTTGACTCGTTCCATAAGTATTGTGAAGATCATAATGAGATCCCAAATAATGTTTTGCACTCATGCACAAAGTCTTTGTAGCGAGCAAACCGCCGACCACATTGGGTAAATATTCGGGATAATCCAGATGATTATACATACAGCCATTTTTATAACCATTATAGAAGTTAGATGGTTCATTCATATCCTTAATACATAATTAGAATAATTTTTGAGTAATCACGTAATTTTTAAACATATCAAAAAAATTTTTTTAAACCAGCCGAAACTTACGATCCATGCGCCGTCGTACGCAAAACTATCGTGCATGTTGCCCATCATATTTGCATAGTACTCCATTGTTTTAGGATTAGTAAAATCGGGCCATACCGTGGAAACAAAATTCCAGACTTTGCCAACGAAAGGTTTATACGTTATATCGTCTTTTACGAATATATCCTGTTTTATTCCTTCATCGTAAGGTAAATAAGAACCATTTTCTTCGGAAGCGGATATACCGGCATCTATTAAAGGGATGTAATGCATTCCTACCTGAAATAGAAGAAATTGCTGTGATGTATTTGCGACTCTCGCAGATTGTGTAATAATCTTTTATGAATATTGTATATCAATATATTATACCGAATGAATTTCTTCTATAAATTTGGGCAAATCTTTGAATTTCTCTTTATTATATGTAAAGTCATTGTTTTTGTCCATATAATCCAAATCATTCCATTGGGTATCCTATAAATATAACAAATACAATATTTACAATGATTTATAATTTGCTTGCATATCTTAAAGTATGTTTTATAAACAATAGCATGTGTTTGTAAAGTAGTAAATATTACAAATGGAATTCCAGCTGCTCTCGTTCTATTCCATACTGCTTTAGTTTTTTCCAAGGTTCCATATCCAAATCTGATTAATATATAAAATATTGTTAACTATCATACATCAAATACATTATTTTTTAGTAATATAGTACCTGCATAAGTGGAAACCAAGAGACCAATAAGGTGGCATGAATGGTTTGCCCACGATCTCAGAATATTGTTTCACAACATCAGCTGGAGTTGGCCCCAAGAAAAAGTAGATATCAAAAATGCCACCAATCGCCCTAAACGTTATAGCCGGTGTAGGCTGCAATATCACATCTAAAAGATATGAAATAATTAAATTATGTCAAAATAATGAGACATTATATAATATTCTATCCTTATTATAAAGAAAACATACCCATAGCATTACTGTTTAAAAATAAAACTCCATGAGCCATTCCAGAATCCTCAACAACAATATAAAATGGATGAGATCCGTACAAATTTGCCTAATTAAAAAGAAATAAAGTAAATATTACTTATAATATATAGTATATCAATTCATTTGTATGTAGAATAAAATTGAGCATACATTTTCTGTCGGTGGTTGATCTTTGTTGAATAAAGTAAATGATTGCCAATTAGTATTTAATTTTAAGCTTGATCTGTGCTCGCCAATACCATAAATATTGCTTGTTGGTAGCAATGTGGTTATTTGCAGAAATTGGTCAGCAAATATGAAACCTCCAATCCCAATGGAATTAAATCTGCATATAGAATATATTATAAAATAATGCTATTAAATATATTCATATTTTGTTTAGCACATTAAAATTATGTCACTTGATCACTCTGTGCAAACTTTTATTAAAATTTTATAGATATTAGTCTCTAAATATACAACATAAATAATATATACTTACAATGTTGTGCCGTCACTGACTCTATCAACTTTAAAACCAGATTTTACATTATCGCTTTTAAATTGATATGTTGTGTTGGTAATTTTGGATAAAAATGGCTTTGGGTCTGATCTAATTGGCCATGGTGGTTCATATCGCTTTTTCAAGGGATCATATATCTAAAAATTAAAGATATTCTATAATTATTTTCTTATTACATTATAATGTGATATAAAAGCAAAATATTTTATAAACATTTATTATTACCTTTACACGCAGGACTGAACTGTCTATGCTTGTAGCCTCTATCTTTACAAGAGGCACATCGTTTTTATATATAGATTTTTTCTCTTGCTTGAGAAAGCCTAAGAAATTACTATCATCTTTACTCTGGTTAATATACTTATACAAATTCCATTCCTCAGGATAATAACAATAGGGAATAGCTAGTGGCACATGTCCTGCAATTTTGTTTTTATTAAGAGGATTCCAACAACATCCCCTGTTTGTACAGGAAAGCTGCGATGCTCCGTCCTCTGGATGACAATCAAAGCGTAATATTTCAGGAACATTGGTGCATTGCTTCAAACACATAAATGATATAATAAATAAATAGAATATATATAATATATAATAATTAATATTATTTTTCTCCTCCTTTTTCTATAACAAAAAAATTATTTATTTTTACTTACTTGAATATTATTAAAAGTGTTTTGTTCAAATAGATTTTCTTTCATTATTTTATAATCATACTTTTGTTGTTCAATGTTTGTATCAAAAGTATCCACTAATATATGCTGGTATTTTGTCTTTGTAGTATTGTTAGGTATAAAAATTGTAAACTGTATGTTTATGCTGTAGTCATTCATGGTGGTGAGCACCAAATTTGTAATCATAGATAAAATTAGGAAACTGAGATGATATAGAAATAAAGCCATGATACACACAAAACATAATATTATCATTATTCGTTTTATTCTTATACTATTCGCATTATTATCAGTCTCATTATTATTATTCTCAAGATCATTTGCTTCTTCTCTTTCGTGATTTCTTCTTAATGGTTTGTAAGATCCTTTGTTTGACATCATAACTACACAATTATCAATTTCTGTCACAATATTGTTTGAGTAATCTTTAATCACTGTATTATACTCTGATTGTTTAGGGGCATTGTGCCCACTTGCTGCTACATGAACCATTTTCAATCAAATCATATGTCAAACTGCCACAACTTTTAACTAGTTAAGTCTGAAAATAATAAAGATATATTAAAGACATTTTATATAAGATGAATGCACTTGTATACAAAATAATTATTAATGAATCACACACACACACACATACATTTACAAAAAATTAGTAAACATCTTATCATCTTAACAATATACGCATTTTTACACAAGAAATATATTTTTAGATTTGTTTCTATGATGAGAAATATATTACAAACATATATAAAAGTGTTGCTTATACAGTATTAAATCATAACCTCTTATCTATTGTATAATCTATTGGAATTATACTATACGAATACGTATTATAATTTCTATAAAAGATATTTCGCATTGTATATATGTTGCACAGAACTTACATTAAAATATTATTTTCGGACAGAGAACTCCGCGTTCCAAACCGTTCGACGAGCTCTTATAACACATAATGCGCATCTGTGTGCATCATGTGTCATTCACATATTGACTCATCATACGTTATTTCATGTATTATTCGTTTGTATTTCTTTCTTGTATTATCGGAAATTCTAATACATTTACAATTTTTTAATAAAGTAGAATAGAAAGTATGATTATTCCAGTCGCTTTTTTGTCACCAGCACTATGTATTCGCACGTCAAATTTGAATTTGACAACCGAAACTGCTCAATTCAGAATAGGTCCGATATGTTATCAGCATTTACATTATAGTCGACTTGAAATTCCTCATAGCGCTTATCGAATTCTCGTTTTATCACTGTCAATATGATAAGTAGAGGATGTTACAAACAGTTATTTTAACCAACATGTAACAAAGCAGAGAAATTGGATATTTATATATATACTAATACATTACTACATTATTGAATCTGTGAATCACGATAATCGAAGCGATAAAGCGCAAAGTTTTACAGGAAAAGTTGCATTACAATAGATTCAAAGTTTTTGTTATAAATTTTAATCAGCAACATATTGATACATTTACATATAGATTTTTGTACAAAAAATGTATTTACATATTTTGTATGTAATTATTAGGACAGTTCTCTTTTTCCTCTTCACATTTTTGAACAATACCTGAAAACAAAGTCACATTTTTTTTTATGTCTTGTGTAAAAAGAAGTTAGATGATATTTTACACAATATGTTAAAGCCTTACGTTTGCAAATTTTGTTTAAAGCATTAATGGTTGGTGAATCCGACATTTCTGTCAAAAAATTTTTACCCTCATCACAACATCTGGCTAGCAATGGGTCCAAAGGTATTGAGCCTAAGAATTCTACATTCAATTCCTTTGACATTGCTTGTGCACCACCTGTCGAAGCTGGGAATATTTCTGCAGTATTCTGCATACAAAGACGTTTTTCATTAATTACATGTTTATATCTTTTTTTTGTTGGTATTGTCTTCAAATCTTATTATCCTTACCTTGCATTTAGGACATACAAAGATACTCATGTTCTCAATTACACCTAAGATTGGAATGTTTACTTTTCTACAAAAATCTATTTCCTTCCTGACATCTAAAAGAGCAACCTGTGGTGGTGTCGTAATGATTATAGCACCCGTAATGCCGGTATCTTTGAGGTAAGATGTGGCTGACAAGTGCTCGTCCGATGTACCAGGCGGTGTATCCAGTATAAGATAATCTAAAGTACCCCAGTCGACTTCCGACAAAAATTGCCTGATCATACCTGAATGTATGCAAATTCATATACGATAAAAAAAAATCGAACTAATATAATAAAAATCATAAAAAAGATGAAATTTTAAACACAAACAATACCATTCTTCTTTGGTCCTCTCCATATAACAGCATCATTAGGACTGCTAAGCAAAAATCCAATTGACATCAATGACAAGTTATCCTCAATATACTAAAAACAAATAATAATATTCAATATTAAATAATAGTTTTTTATGCATAATATTCTAGTTTCAACGAGTTTACTTACTACAGGCGACCATCCTGATCCACTCTGATGAACTTGTTCACCAAGTACTCCAAGTACTCTTGGTTGTGATGGTCCACAAATGTCGATGTCCAATACTCCAATCTAGCACATAAAACACGATGAAAGATTCAAAATTTAATATAATTTAAAATATAACATTTCAATATATTACATATATAAATTAATTAATATTTTTCAGCACTTATTTATTGATGTATGTTTTATTTATCTTGATTTAAAATATTGAAAAATAATGAGGACACTGAAACTTTGGTAATCAATAAGGGACTGGCACAAGTTGATACGACATACATATAGGTATCAGTTGACTATAGATATTCTCTGTCTGAGGTTATTTCCTAGCAAACTAACTGGTGGCATTCACTATGTTACAATGTACATTGAAAATCATATGGATGTACTTGGAATGGGCAGAAGGGTGAGTTGTTTTACCAACTTGTTTCTTAATCTTGCCATAAGATATGTTATTTATGTGCTAATGAAATATGACATTTATGTTAGGATTTATTTTTATGATATAAGATAAATAGATAAATTCAATGTAAGATATAAGAAATTAATTTTATTATTTTTCTCCTCCTTTTTCTATAACAAAAAAATTATTTATTTTTACTTACTTGAATATTATTAAAAGTGTTTTGTTCAAATAGATTTTCTTTCATTATTTTATAATCATACTTTTGTTGTTCAATGTTTGTATCAAAAGTATCCACTAATATATGCTGGTATTTTGTCTTTGTAGCATTGTTAGGTATAAAAATTGTAAACTGTATGTTTATGCTGTAGTCATTCATGGTGGTGAGCACCAAATTTGTAATCATAGATAAAATTAGGAAACTGAGATGATATAGAAATAAAGCCATGATACACACAAAACATAATATTATCATTATTCGTTTTATTCTTATACTATTCGCATTATTATCAGTCTCATTATTATTATTCTCAAGATCATTTGCTTCTTCTCTTTCGTGATTTCTTCTTAATGGTTTGTAAGATCCTTTGTTTGACATCATAACTACACAATTATCAATTTCTGTCACAATATTGTTTGAGTAATCTTTAACCACTGTATTATACTCTGATTGTTTAGGGGCATTGTGCCCACTTGCTGCTACATGAACCATTTTCAATCAAATCATATGTCAAACTGCCACAACTTTTAACTAGTTAAGTCTGAAAATAATAAAGATATATTAAAGACATTTTATATAAGATGAATGCACTTGTATACAAAATAATTATTAATGAATCACACACACACACACATACATTTACAAAAAATTAGTAAACATCTTATCATCTTAACAATATACGCATTTTTACACAAGAAATATATTTTTAGATTTGTTTCTATGATGAGAAATATATTACAAACATATATAAAAGTGTTGCTTATACAGTATTAAATCATAACCTCTTATCTATTGTATAATCTATTGGAATTATACTATACGAATACGTATTATAATTTCTATAAAAGATATTTCGCATTGTATATATGTTGCACAGAACTTACATTAAAATATTATTTTCGGACAGAGAACTCCGCGTTCCAAACCGTTCGACGAGCTCTTATAACACATAATGCGCATCTGTGTGCATCATGTGTCATTCACATATTGACTCATCATACGTTATTTCATGTATTATTCGTTTGTATTTCTTTCTTGTATTATCGGAAATTCTAATACATTTACAATTTTTTAATAAAGTAGAATAGAAAGTATGATTATTCCAGTCGCTTTTTTGTCACCAGCACTATGTATTCGCACGTCAAATTTGAATTTGACAACCGAAACTGCTCAATTCAGAATAGGTCCGATATGTTATCAGCATTTACATTATAGTCGACTTGAAATTCCTCATAGCGCTTATCGAATTCTCGTTTTATCACTGTCAATATGATAAGTAGAGGATGTTACAAACAGTTATTTTAACCAACATGTAACAAAGCAGAGAAATTGGATATTTATATATATACTAATACATTACTACATTATTGAATCTGTGAATCACGATAATCGAAGCGATAAAGCGCAAAGTTTTACAGGAAAAGTTGCATTACAATAGATTCAAAGTTTTTGTTATAAATTTTAATCAGCAACATATTGATACATTTACATATAGATTTTTGTACAAAAAATGTATTTACATATTTTGTATGTAATTATTAGGACAGTTCTCTTTTTCCTCTTCACATTTTTGAACAATACCTGAAAACAAAGTCACATTTTTTTTTATGTCTTGTGTAAAAAGAAGTTAGATGATATTTTACACAATATGTTAAAGCCTTACGTTTGCAAATTTTGTTTAAAGCATTAATGGTTGGTGAATCCGACATTTCTGTCAAAAAATTTTTACCCTCATCACAACATCTGGCTAGCAATGGGTCCAAAGGTATTGAGCCTAAGAATTCTACATTCAATTCCTTTGACATTGCTTGTGCACCACCTGTCGAAGCTGGGAATATTTCTGCAGTATTCTGCATACAAAGACGTTTTTCATTAATTACATGTTTATATCTTTTTTTTGTTGGTATTGTCTTCAAATCTTATTATCCTTACCTTGCATTTAGGACATACAAAGATACTCATGTTCTCAATTACACCTAAGATTGGAATGTTTACTTTTCTACAAAAATCTATTTCCTTCCTGACATCTAAAAGAGCAACCTGTGGTGGTGTCGTAATGATTATAGCACCCGTAATGCCGGTATCTTTGAGGTAAGATGTGGCTGACAAGTGCTCGTCCGATGTACCAGGCGGTGTATCCAGTATAAGATAATCTAAAGTACCCCAGTCGACTTCCGACAAAAATTGCCTGATCATACCTGAATGTATGCAAATTCATATACAATAAAAAAAAATCGAACTAATATAATAAAAATCATAAAAAAGATGAAATTTTAAACACAAACAATACCATTCTTCTTTGGTCCTCTCCATATAACAGCATCATTAGGACTGCTAAGCAAAAATCCAATTGACATCAATGACAAGTTATCCTCAATATACTAAAAACAAATAATAATATTCAATATTAAATAATAGTTTTTTATGCATAATATTCTAGTTTCAACGAGTTTACTTACTACAGGCGACCATCCTGATCCACTCTGATGAACTTGTTCACCAAGTACTCCAAGTACTCTTGGTTGTGATGGTCCACAAATGTCGATGTCCAATACTCCAATCTAGCACATAAAACACGATGAAAGATTCAAAATTTAATATAATTTAAAATATAACATTTCAATATATTACATACATAAATTAATTAATATTTTTCAGTACTTATTTATTGATGTATGTTTTATTTATCTTGATTTAAAATATTGAAAAATAATGAGGACACTGAAACTTTGGTAATCAATAAGGGACTGGCACAAGTTGATACGACATACATATAGGTATCAGTTGACTATAGATATTCTCTGTCTGAGGTTATTTCCTAGCAAACTAACTGGTGGCATTCACTATGTTACAATGTACATTGAAAATCATATGGATGTACTTGGAATGGGCAGAAGGGTGAGTTGTTTTACCAACTTGTTTCTTAATCTTGCCATAAGATATGTTATTTATGTGCTAATGAAATATGACATTTATGTTAGGATTTATTTTTATGATATAAGATAAATAGATAAATTCAATGTAAGATATAAGAAATTAATTTTTTATATCCTTGATGAAAAACATGTTTCAAGTATATATATCACTTTAGTAATTATGATTAGTTATAACTGAAGATAAAACTTACATTTCTATCAGAATTATTTGCCGCAAGGCATCTGGATATCAATGATGTCACAGTACTTTTGCCAACTCCTCCTTTGCCTGAAAGCACTAATAGTTTATTCCGCACTGAGGACAATCTTTCTTTCACAAGCGCTATGCCAGGATCTGGTTGTCTGGTAGTTCCAGAGGAGCACAATGATTGATTTGGACATCCTGCACAAGCTGAAGCTTTGCCAGCATTCTCACTTTGAGTCCCAGGACAGTCTGAAAATATATTTCATATTCTTGAGCATTGCAAATAATAAAAATAATTTGGTGGACCAAATATAATTTGCACATGCGATAACATTACATTTTATTTAATCACACATAATATACTTCTTAGTAATGTAAAAAGCTCTTAAAAAAGAAAAGTATTAAAATTGTAATATATATGAAAATATTATATATACAAGAGAAAGATGTATAAATATTGTTACATCCTAACCTTAAATCTTCTGACATTTGACATATTATAGATATAATGTAAAGTAAATGACATATTATAATGATGATGTAATCTTAACAAATGTTAAATTACTTCTAACTATTTTAATGTATTTTTAAAATTGACTGATATCAAAGAGTGTATATTTACGTTCGGGAGCTTCGCTAGGTACATCTGCCATGTTAGTTCTCTCTTTAAAACTCTACTAAAAAAATACATAATGTATATGAAATGAAAAAAATATCTCTTTTTTTTTATATCAATTTTGTAGAGAATTTAATTTAACTCCACTACTATTTTTTGTTTTGTTTTAAAGGAATTTTTCTTATGAATGATTAGCTCGAATTTTTCTTAATAAAACCTATTAATAAAAAATGCGACAAAATGATTATGCTTTCTGCATAAATAATAATCATAAATATGAATTTCTTATTATATAAGCGATTTTAATTATAATGTAGATATATAATTATATTTTTATCATTTTTACAATCGAGCAATTGAAAAAAAAATATATAGTTATCTCAAAACAAAAAAAATAAATACATATTTTATATATATATATATATATATATATATCAAAATTAAATAAAATATATAATAAAGTTTTTACTACTTTTATATTATAAATGACTCTAATATGTTAAGACATTAATCCTATTTTATAATAATATGTAATAATATCTAATATATTTAAACTCTTTCAAGATAATGTTTCTTTTTTGTTGTACACTTTAATTTATAGCAACTACAACCATGGAGCACAGTAGGAAGTGCAATGCCTTACATGGAACCAATATTTCCTATTCGTATAGGTGATTACACCCGTACACATAACTTACTGCCATGGAGACCAAATGCTGGGTTTGAGAATACAGAAGTTATTCCCTTGTAAGTAGACTCAATGTCTCTTCCAGCTGTAAATTCATTTACTTTTGCATTATTCCTACTAATAATAGTTGTAGAGGTTTTTCGAATCCTTTATAGGTACACACACACACACACAACACACACACACACACACACACACACACACACACACACACACACACACACACACACACACACACACACACACACACACACACACACACACACACACACACACACACACACACACACACACACACACACACACACACACACACACACACACACACACACACACACACACACACACACACACACACACACACACACACACACACACACACACACACACACACACACACACACACACACACACACACACACACACACACACACACAGAATGATATTGATTTAACAAACTATGATGCTCTGTTATACACCATATTTATCTTTCTATTGAATAAATAACCAGTATACAGGTCGAAATATTGAAATATATAATGCATAATCAAGTTACGCACTGGATACGAATAATAAAATGAATACACACCCGTTAAAATTCCCGAATTTGATAACGGGCTATCAACGTAATCCAGTTCATGCGTCACAAGCCGCTCTTTATACGAGATATACACCACATGAATGGTTCCAGAAACAAATAAAATGTTATAATGAATCAAGTTCACAGAGACATTACTCTGAGAGGATGCGGAATGATGCTCTGAGAATTATCAGGTTTTCTTAAGAATATTTCTCTATATTGTCTACATTATGTGAACTGCGGTGTTGCCTAAATCCAAAATTATCTTTTAGAAATGCTGAGGAGAAGATACAACATGGTCAGTATGATACCAGCCGAAGACTTGGTGAAAGAATAAATGACATTACTTTTTGGCGTAATGAAGTGGTATCAGAACTGGAGAGAATGCTTCATGAAATTGAAAGACTTCAAGATTGTCGAAGTACCTTAGAAAAGGCAATACGAGATATTGAAGGACCTTTACACATTGCAGAGGAGTGTCTTTACCACAGAGAAGCTAGAAAAGGTATTATGGAGTCTTAACTATTTCATGTATGAAATGTTATGTAAAAAGAGTTCTGCTATAAAATCTTTTGTTTTCCTTTCACTCTTATTTTTTAGGCACAGAACTGGTACATGATGATTCGGAAAAATGTTTACTACAAGAAGTGGAACATTTACGTATAAATCAAAAGAAACTAGAAGCTTGTTTGGACAAATGCAAAGACCAGGTAAAATTTAGCCTGAATATCTTAATCTTGCCTGATTTTTTATTTATATAATCTCTAATCAATCAATATGATTAATATTATTTTGCTTGCAGTTACGAAATTGCAGAGCTTCGCAGAATCAATTAGAATTGGATTTAAAAAATAAGGAGAGTGCCTTAGGTATAGATACAATTTGTCATCAGTTGAATAATCACACTCAGGGATTACAGTATTATTCCGGAATTGAAAAATATGATCCATGGTAATTAAATTATAAATGATTCTTATAACATTATACAATACAAATACAAATACTGTTATCTGATTAGCGTTTCGGGACAAGAAACTTGGGCAGATGCAGTAAATAGGATAGTGCAACGATCCCAAACGGAACGGAATAAGTCATGTCAATTACGTACCACTGCCGAAAGTCTTATCAATAAAGTTGCTCAAGAAATGTGGCATACTTGGAGTAACACCAATAACGCTTTAGCACACAGATCTTCCGAATTACTGGAAGCTAAAAATAAGCTGCAACAACATTTGCAAAAGGTATCAAAGTTAACGCGCGTATCTTTCTCAGATTAAAATGCGATTCGTGAAACATTACAGTTGCAACAAGAAATATTCGATGTCGAAAAAAATTTGGAATTAATGCGCAAAGCTATCGCCGATAAAAGTCACGCGACTAAAGTTGCCCATACAAGAATGGAAGCGAGAATGCATCGTCCTGATATAGAATTATGTCGCGATTATGCCTATACGAGGTACGTATTGTGTATTAATAATATGATGTTATCATAAAACGTAAGATGTTGTTTCGAAATATTATATTTTGCAGTCTTCAGAAAGAGATTGACGAAATAAATCATCAACTTGAAAGAATGCACAAGGCACTGAAAGAACTTGAGAATCAACATCAGAAATTGCTAAGAACTCGAACTAGGTTGGAACACGATCTCGCGCTTAAAATCGATGCGATATATATTGATAAAGAGAAAGTCTGCGGCCTTAGACGTGCGTATCCTGTTAATGCATTGTTTAGATTTTAATAGCTTATTCTCTATTAGTTCTGAATACTGCCATTTATGAGAATATTTAATCATGTCACTTGGAATACACTCCTAGAGGAATTTAGGCTATGTGATATTTCCATATCAAATTTGAAAAATCTTCAACAAATTTGAAAAAAAGGCATTAAATATTTATTTTGTACAATTATAGTAACTATCGGAAATAATAACGTTTTACTTTACTGAATGACTTTTGGCATAGCTTGGTATAGGCAGATTGAATCCTGGTTTGGCTTCGAAGAATGTATAAGACAAGACTATTTCATTAACAAATTCCATTTTTGGATCTTCTGTGAATTCTGGGTCAATATAGAAGAACACTGGCATATCGACCTTAAAACACAAAAATAACTTACAGTACACTGCCTGATTTAATCATATAGATTATACATTTATGCAAATGTTCGGAATTTTAATTAGAATAAAAATTGATATTTAAAAAAAAAGCTAAAAGCCGTAGCTTTTGTTAGATGTACAAAAAATAGACTTATACACCTTATTCTATATGCAATATTAATAAACTCACTTGTTCATGCGGATTAAGCATCTGTTCTTCAAAACAGAAACATTGTATTTTATTAAAGTATTGTCCTACTTCAAAAGGTAAAACATTATATGTGGATATTCCAATGACTCGTTCATTGGTTGGATTCGTGGCTGTGTAAAATGTAGACGTGCGTATCCTGTTAATGCATTGTTTAGATTTTAATAGCTTATTCTCTATTAGTACCATGTTCTGAATACTGCCATTTATGAGAATATTTAATCATGTCACTTGAAATACACTCCTAGAGGAATTTAGGCTATGTGATATTTCCATATCAAATTTGAAAAATCTTCAACAAATTTGAAAAAAAGGCATTAAATATTTATTTTGTACAATTATAGTAACTATCGGAAATAATAACGTTTTACTTTACTGAATGACTTTTGGCATAGCTTGGTATAGGCAGATTGAATCCTGGTTTGGCTTCGAAGAATGTATAAGACAAGACTATTTCATTAACAAATTCCATTTTTGGATCTTCTGTGAATTCTGGGTCAATATAGAAGAACACTGGCATATCGACCTTAAAACACAAAAATAACTTACAGTACACTGCCTGATTTAATCATATAGATTATACATTTATGCAAATGTTCGGAATTTTAATTAGAATAAAAATTGATATTTAAAAAAAAAGCTAAAAGCCGTAGCTTTTGTTAGATGTACAAAAAATAGACTTATACACCTTATTCTATATGCAATATTAATAAACTCACTTGTTCATGCGGATTAAGCATCTGTTCTTCAAAACAGAAACATTGTATTTTATTAAAGTATTGTCCTACTTCAAAAGGTAAAACATTATATGTGGATATTCCAATGACTCGTTCATTGGTTGGATTCGTGGCTGTGTAAAATGCTAAAGCTGTCTCTCCAGGAACAACTGTAATTTCTGTTTGCTGTGGCTTAAAGTTCCATTGCATCGATGCTGCTGTATCTGCACTAAATTTAATTTTGATTTTCCTATTGTTAACAGGTGACATTGTGCTCACTTTAGTAGTATCATGACCAGCTGATATCGTTCCACCATAACTATATGACTGTATAATAGAAAAAATATAGCGAATAAAAGAAATGTATACTATTACAAATATTGTTACATCAATAACAACAGTTACGATACTTATTGAAATAATAGACACGATTAAATTCGACAATATAATATTTATAGTTATTCTCAAAGAATTGCAATCATATACCTGGCAAAACATTCTATACAAAGGCACTGCGGAGTAACTCAATCCAACTATCAGAACTCCGACTCCAGTCCAATACAAAGTAGTTGAGCGTATCCTTTTTTGAAACGAGGTGTCAGAGTGATCTTTCATTAAATTTCGCGATACGTTGGTATATATTTGTCTAACGCAAGTTCGTGTCAATCGCCGACATATATTAAAATACATCTTTTCGTTCTGTCAATCAATTCAAGACTATAACCTATAAGATTGTTTGGCATAAGATTACGTATCTCATATGAAATAAAACTCTTCTCAAAAGCATAATAATATTAAACAATGGATAAATTCTCTCAGTGAATGTTCTCTCTCACGCGTATTAGTATCAATATTGCAAAATTCTGATAAAATTATAGATATAACATTGACGTATCATCATGTGCCAAGCAGAACTCCATATTGCCTGCGACATCCAGCGCCATCTTTGCTAATTAGTATCACATAATTATTCATATATATCTAGCTGTTTTACCAATACAATATATTAAACTTTAATATTTCGTATTATTTTTAATTACTTGACACGATTCATATAAGCGTAAATTGACGTAACACATTATCAAATACAAAATTCAAAGCAATCTTATTTATATATTATAAGTAAAAAATAATTGGCACTGAAATTGGCATAGTAAAAAGCACTCTCTAAATTCAAATTTGTCGCACAGCGCATTCTGTCGGAAATGGAATAAAGTAGCGCAGACGCAGGTATTATTTTTCAAACGCGCGTACAGTGTATCGTGAATCCTTCGATGTGCTTCGCATAATTTAAATTCGTATAAATATTCGCGTAATAATCACAATCACAGACGATTTTGTGTATAACGCGACTCAAACAGTGTAAAAAAGGGGCTTTCGTTTCGTTTGTATAAATAATGTACGTCTACCGTGGCTAAACGGAAAATTCGACTTCGCGATATCGGAATGTAAACCTCAATTTATTTGTAGAAATTCTTTTAAATTTTATACTAGTTATATATATAGATATAACAGGTTTCTTAAAATATTTTAATTATTTTATGTAATTCATGAACAATATTTCTATAAGAAATCAATAATATTCGAAGTAATTTTTTCATCGTAAGTAAAGGTAATGTGAAGTCGGCAGCGATATATCAAAGTCCAAGTTTCAATTCTCGCGTGACGTTGCACCGAAATTTGTGTGAAGGAGGGCAATTGTATTTTTCAAACGCGCGCAGAGCATGTCGTGAGTGTTAACGTACTTCGATTTGATTTATAATTCGCATATAATAATTACAATTTCGGTAATAAAATTACGAGTCGTGAGAGCGATTTTATGTACAGCGCGATTAGAATAGTGTCAAATATGTTTCTATCGCGTAGAAAATGTAATAATGTTCGCGATTTCGGGATATAAATTAGTGTTCTCAAGGAACTCGAGTGGTGTGATTCAGAGATGTAACGACTAATCATTAGATCGGTAAGAAAATATAAATATTTTATTGTTTTTAGATCTTTGCCTGTATGTTGTAAAAAATATATGCAATATTAAAACATTTCGCGGTTAATTCTCTTAAACTCGTGTGTATAGGCTATACATATTTAGATTCGAAATGTGTGTATGTGTATGTGAAAGGAGAAAAAGAGAAAAAAAAATAGAGATTCACTATACAAATTTGTAAAAGAGATAGAATAAAATTTACATATATATTTGAAAATGCTTATAGGTGAATACTTACCAACTAGATAGGTGGACAATCCAGAAGAGATTCTATCGGAGAATCGTCGTGGGAGAGTTCAAGAGCAGCGGATTGATAAGAGTATGTATATAATTGTTTATAAAAAAAAGTAAATTTATTTCGTACATATTTTTACTATGAAATTGATTTCTAATTTTTTTCTTATTTTACAGCGCACAAGTTTTCTTGTTTGCTATGTGGATTAGCGACTTCTGGTCTTGTCAATCATCGATGTACAGGTAAGAACACTCTGGTCATAGTTGAGACAATTATCAATCAAAGTTTTCAAAGTTTTGAACTTTTTTATATATATTTTCATGATTTGTTAAAAAAATGGTTTCTTTCTACAACTATGTCCAACTGTAAATTATAATATTACGTGTAACTTACTAATTTATTTTTACTTTTTGTCTAAACATCGCAGTTTCCTTGTATTTTTATTGTAGAGAATATTTTATGAGAACGAGAATAACTTGTAACGATAATAATAATAATTCGCAAATAACTCATAATAATAATAATATATTAGTTCCTACATATACATATATATTTATATCCCAATAGCAATCATTCAATTACAATTGTAATGTTGAAATATTTCTATGATGCACTTTATAAAACCAAGCGTTATTGCAATGATATTGCATAAAGTTTTAATCAGTAAGTTACACGTAATATTTAATATTGTAATACAAATTATTTGTGTATAATGTAATTACACATATTGATTAAAGACTCGAAATCATAATCCTTAACTAGTATAACTATCTCACAAAAGATATAAACTTAAGAGTAATCAAATTTTACATTAATTTAAACGAGCAACATATAAACTTTAATGAATCTTATAGTTTTTATCGCATATTTATTTATAAAAAATGCAATTCGTCTTTAATTATACATTTGTTAGTTGAGCGCACGAAAGAATGAGATTTATATAATATAGTGTAAAAAAATTAATGTAAAAAAACTGCACACAAATATAAATAATTCAGAATGTACTAGTTAAGGAATAATGATGCATTTTTTCTACATTGTATAAATAGAAGAAATTATAATTGTGCATCAATGTGTATATAGCAACAGGTAGGTTTTCTCTTTCTTCTCACAGTCGATATAATAATATATAATTTATATGTAGCGTATACACTCATTATCAGTAAGAATTTAATTTTACTATAAAGAGATAAATATTTTTGCTAGAGCTTCTCTTATTTTTCTATCAAACGTAAAATCATATCGTGCTATGCTAAGCACAAATATTGTTTTCGACAGAAAAAGAAATTTGAATATCCACGGATATTTAAGGATATTTTGTCTGTTTAATTTTTTCTGTTTTAACTGAAATTTTTATACTATTTTTTAGTAAACTGAGAACTATTGGTTGAGAAATTATTGGCATTTTTATATATAATATAAAACATGTATGTAATTGTTTATAGAGTACAATCACCCATGTAAATAGCTAATTAAAAATGATAGATTTTTATAATTATCGTAAAAATAATTATAAAAGATTTATAATTATAATTATCGTGTTATACGCACATATATATCGTATCTCGTTTATATTCTATTGAAAAACTATAATATTCGAAATCTCAAACGTAATTCTAGAGCGTATGTTTGGCACGATGAAGAGGTATTTGCAATCGTTTTCTAATATCTATTTTCATTGCATCGATCACTTTGGCCCATTGAAATACAAGACTCATAGAAATGCGCAATACAATACAATTTTTATTTTTTTTCATATCTTCTCGACAATAAAATAAAATAAATAAAAACAAGCCATCTTTCATGATAAAAAATTAATGTTAAAATATAAATAACATGCAATTAAGTGTATTTAATAATAAAATAATAAAAAGAAGAAAAATTTACGTAGAAAAAACATTGCTGAAACTATTTTTATATATCTCTATTTTTCGTCATAATTTATGTTTTTTTATAATTATGTATATTTATTAAATTTAATACAAAATTAACATCTCCTGAAATATATGCAAAACATCTCATTTATTTCTCGCAATTATTTCTATGAATTTTGTTTTTCAATTTTCTAACGGACCAATCTTTGCATATTGTTTATTTCATGAAGTCTTTGACTTCAAAAAGTTGAGACGGATTTAACTACGACTATATGTTTTTATGTACATTCATTGTCAATGATAAGTACTAACTACGTGCAGCCTCGTTGTTACGTCGGATACTTATATATCTAAACATGATACTAATGCGATGGACATTTGTAGTCAAGCATCTAGACACCGCGTATAAAACTTACTATAAATTACTATTATCTTTCTTTGGCACAAACTTGACGATCACACTCATCACAAACATTGAAAATACAATAATTTCGAAGCTATCCTTTATATTTTTACATTTGTATTAAATGTTCTTCTAACACTTTTTGCGTTTCCAAAAAGGTGATTCCGATACAATAGACTAAATACAATTATTATTAATCATAATCAATACTCAAGTATATGTACCGTGAAGTATTTCTAATGGCGCTTCTTTCTTTGCACTGTTAGTATTTGTTACTTTTTAAATTTCTTAAATCAGTATTCTTTATCTACACAGTTACATCTGTATTAAATCAACAGCAACTTTGCTATCGATGATTTATAACTTGATAATATTGCTTTCTTTATGGAAAATAATATTTAGAAGCGTCTTGCCATAAAATTTTCTTGCAATTTTACTGTCATTATAAATATAAAATATCGACATTTATCAGCAACTTGCTTATATCCAGATTTTTTACAAGTAGTAAATATACATAATGTTTAACAAAATTATACGTTTAAAAGAGCTTCCGTAAACAAGCTTCCTAAAATTGCACATTCTATAAATAAACTTATAATGCGGAAATATATGATAAATAATCTTATTTTTTTGGTATTTTGGTTTTCACAAGATCACAGATCACATCACCATCAACCAAATGACAAATAAATAATTTAATAAATATATAATAAGTACATACAACTCTGAATGAGTAAATAAAAAACTAGATAAAGGGATGGAGACGCGAGCAATTTTAATTGGGACGAGGGTGACATTTCAATTGCGCGGCTCGTAGCTGCAGTTTGCGTAGAGATGGATTCTCTGGTGGTCCCGTAAGTGGTGTCGATGCTTGAACCGTTTCTTGCAATTCGCACATTGAAATCTAGGCCCGACACCGCATTCGAGCCGCAAATGCCTCGTCAGGTTGCATTTGTGCGAGTAAGTGCGGCCGCATTTCGGACAGAGAAACGGTGGTCCATCCTCCGCTTCCTTCAATCGCTTCCAAACTGAAACATTCATCGGGAAGAATATAGTGATAGAACACACATACATACGTACACACAAGCGCACATTCTCTCTTTTGTGTTCTCGCAGGCAAACATACAAACTAGAAAAGCATTAGGCGGCAAAATAAAAGTATCGGATATACATACAGCGATGCAGCATACAGTTATGCCGCAAATCAGGGCAATCATCACACAGATTTTTTTTCGACGATAAATGGATCTCTCTCTCTTTCTCTCTCTTTCTCTCTTGTTGTTCTTAAGTACATCTGATCTTGCATCGCGATGTCTCGTAGCTTCTAGTCTTTAAACTGCATGCACTCGCGAAGCGGTCGTTTTCTGTGAGACGAGTTGCCTTCGACGACTTTGCGTGATAAATTGCTTTGCACTACGGTGTCACAACAAAAACATATTTCTATGACAGATAACTTTCAATATATAAT